GGTGCTTTCATAAGAATATGATAAACTTAGACAAACCCTCAGTGACCCTGAAAGAAATGACCAGTCTCAGTGCCCACAGGATGCTATCTTAGACACCACCAGTCACTCTCAGAGTAGACCTAAAAGCTTCTGCCCACCAGCGGAGATGATAGGAAAGGTTGTCTTAGCCTGTGCTGTAAATCCAGGGGTTATAGTGGAAGTGAGAAGTTTGCACATCTTATGGATTTTAACCTTCCCCAAGCTGATAACCTCTACAGTACGTGCCCAAAACAATGGCAAAATCACCCCAGAAGGACAGACTGGCAGCAGTGAGCATAGCACTCAATTTCTCACAGAAAAAAATCCATTGAGCTCCTGACCCAAAATTATAAAAGCACACAGAAGTAATCTACTTGAAAAGTGTTAGCCAGAATGACACATCACACTCACCCTCACCCCCTTCCCTGAACTCATACAGGGATTCTGGGTGCAATTAATGCTCAGATAATACAGGGCTGGAGAGATGACTCAGCAGTTGAGAGCACTGGCTGCTCTTTCAAAACCCACATGGTGGCTCACGGCCATCTGCAGCTCCATTTCTGACACCTTCTTCTGGCCTCTGGGGGCACTGTACACAGTGTGGTGCACAGACGTACATGCAGGCAAAACACTCATACACACAAGATAAAAATAAGTAAATCTTCTTAAGTTCAAATATGCTAACGAGACTGTTAAAGTACAGCAGAAAAGCGTGCCTTTGTCTGAAGAGTTTGAGGGTAAGTTTTGAGCAAAGCAAAGGGTGTTTACAGCCGTGCAGTACAGCAGGAACTCCTACTAGGAACTGGCAATTACAGAATCAAGAGAAAGACGGGAAAGGCTTGGGTCCTAAAGTAGATTGCATTCTGTATTAGTCAAGATGCTCAGAAAGCATGAGGAGGGCAAGCAGGGATTGTTAGAAGGACAGGATCACAGGCTGCTTCTCACGCCATTGCCTGGCTCTTTTGTGATTATACCTTCTCTTCTACTGCAGTTTTTCTCCCAAAGTGAGCCTTGCTACTTGTTCATATCCTTTAATTGTTTGTAGGAAAATCATGCAATGAGATTTATTATTTATGTTTTGAGATAGGGCCTCTTATTAGCCTAAGCTGGCCTTTAATATGCGGATAGCCAAAGATGACCCAAACTCCTGATCCTCCTGCCTCTTCCTCCCAAGTGCTGGGATTACAGGTGTGTGCTACCACACCCAATTAAAATTTATCATTTTAGCCACTTTTAACTGTCCAGTTCATTGGCATTAAGTATGTTCACACTGTTGGCAGCTGTCACTATAACCTATCTCTAGAACTTTTCCTGTCAAAATGAAATTGTACCCACTAAACACTAGGTCCCAGGGTTCCCTCCTTCTTTTCCCCACTTTTCCCTGGGAATCTGAGTGCCTTAGAGACCTCGTATAAGCAGAACTGCCTGTCTCCTTTAGTGCCACTCTGGTGTCACTATGCTTTTAAATTGGCTCAGGGAAAAGGACCTCCTTTAGTAGACTTCTGCCCCTCACTCCATTTGAAAAATCCTTAGAGAAACTCTTAGGCGTGGCTTGGTACATGCTTGCTTTCGGAACAAGACTACAGGTACTGTTTGCTACGCTGGGTTTCGTGCCTTCGTAGAATCTTCCCCAATGCCATCTTACCCTCTTCCCAATGCTGTCCTAACATCTTCCCCACCCCAATACCATCTTCCCCAATTCCCTGGTCTTTTAAATGCCCAAAATAGCGCCCACCACACTATGCTACTGTCTTGTTCTGCTTTATTTTCTTCAGAGCACTCATCGTGTGTGTGCACATGACAAGGGAGGAGGGAAAGGGGTTGTATTGCTACATTACCTAAGCTAGTCTTAAGTTTGTGGACTTGAGTGGTCCTCTCACCTCAGCTTCCTAGGTGGCTAAGGCTACAGCTGTACATCACCATCTTCAGCTCACTGACTGTTGATAAATATATTTATTTGCTTATTGCTTCCTCTGTCACTAGAATATGAGATTACACTCGGGACTTTTTCTGTCTCATTCACCTCTGTGTTCCCAGTGCTTAGAACAGGTCCTGGGCCATAATAGGAACTCAGCACGTTTTTAATTAATTAGGAATTTTGTCTGTGGCTACCTCTTTACATTCATTGGTAAAAGTGATTAAAGAAAATTAATTCTCGATTCCAAGTGAGGTAAGGAATTAGAAATTAAGAGGGACAGAGCTCTTGGCATGTATGAACAGAATAAGTAAACATGAAAGTTTATCCAAATAGCAAGATAATGTTCTCTCTTTATTTTAATTCCCAGGAGTTGTATTGTGTGGGTGTGTGTGAGTGCATGTGTGAGTCTGTGTGTTTTGGCACAGGGTCTAACTATGTAACCTTAGCTGACTTGGAACTCACTACGTAGACAAAGCTGGCCTCAAATTCGTAGAGAACTGCCTGCCTCTGCCTCCTGAGTGCTGGGATTAAAGGTGTGTGTGCACCACCAAACCTGACATATTCCCAGTTTTTTGACGGAATCTTGTCATGAAACCCTGACTCATTTGGTATTCACTGTGTAGCCCAGACTGTCCTGACATTAAAGTGGCCCTCCTGCCTCAACCTCCCAAGTGCTGGAGTTGCAGTTTAATGCCACCCTGTCCAACTGAGAACTGTACTTTTTAAAGATGAATAATTGTGGAAAATACAATGATGGAAAAAGTAAAGTCCTAAGATAGTAGTAGACTCAGAAGCCCTTTCTGGAATCACTTTGTTTTTCTGGACATTTGTACGGAGACTGTAGAAGTGAGTATAAACGTATAAACCCACCAGGCCAAACACATACATACATCTTTGCCGTCTAACACTGAAAACTAGCAAGGTAGATGTGGGTCTTGAGCCATCTTGACCAGTTCTGCTCTTTTCATTTGCGCTCAGCCGTATTCAGACCAAATTCTCTGGAGTGAGACTCACGATGCTGTGACTCCTACATTGACATCACTCTGATCCCGTTCAAAGCTACCTCAGCTCTCCCCCTCTTTCTCTCCCTTTATCTTGGGGGCAAAATGCGACAAACGAGGAGTGAGACAGAATCTGTGCCTACAAACTAGTGAGTTACTCCTCCATTGCTGTGATTAAAGCACCGTGACCAAAGCAACTTAGAGAAGAAGGCATTTATTTGGGCTGATGGTTCCAGAGGGTAAGAGTCCATCATGGGGGTGGGGCGGCAGAGCAAGTGTGTGGCATCTGGAACAGGATGCTGAGAGCACATATGCTTTACCATAACAAGCATGAAGCAAAGGGCATACAAAGGACATAAAGATTTTTTTATATCAAAGCCCACATGAACTCCAAGCAGCAGCACTAACGGAAGAACCAAGTGTTCAAATGCCTGAAACTATGGGGACATTTCTCACTCAGATCACCCCAGGACCACCTGTGGTTCCTTAATTGTGGAGGCTGCTTCCTGTCTTTTACTTTTCTTAAATTGTATTATTTTTATCCTTGCTGATGAGCATCCGGAACTTAGCCACTGTGGCACCCAGCTAAATGTACCCTGTCCACCCTCTCCCCAGTTAGTAATACTTTTCCTGTTTTGTCTCACTCAAATCACATACACCTCGCCTCTAAATTCTATGAGAAGCACAATTCCTAGTAGGAAAACAAATTACATTGCCTCATGCTTGCTCCCCTGCCTCACCAGCTGCCGTCCCTGCCAGGATTCTAGGTTCCAAAAGACCTTAATGACTTTTTTTCTTACTCCCTGTCCGAATCAGAAAATAATTTCTCTGTGGCAGCTTCTTGTTTTTTGTTTTTTGTTTATTTAGAAGATTAAATAGAGATGCCTGTTATGATAACTCTTCCCATCAGCCTGGTTCCAGAACTGTGTCAGTCCCAAATGAACACGCAGGATGCTATATTAATTATGAAGCTGTTGGCTGTTTTCTGTGGTTTCTTATTGGCTAGCTCTGACTTAATTATTAACCCATAACTGCTAATCTGGGTATTGCCACATGGTCTTCTTTTGCCAGAGAAAGGGTCTGGACCTCTTATTCCTTGCATCCTACATGGTGACTCTCTGCTCTTGACTGCATTTCCCAGACCCCTCCTCGACTCCTAGTCCCACCTATCTTGCCTCCCTATTGGTCAACAGTGCTTTATTTATCAACCAATAAGACAAACATATACACAGAAGGACTTCTCCCATCAGATGCCCTTAGCCAAAAGTCCTGGAGCCAATCCTCATCCCCACAGTAATGGGAAAACAGATACAGGGTACTCAAGAGCAGTTTGATCACAGTCCACCCTCCATCCTTTATTACAGTGGCCTAAGGTGGTCATAGCACAGGCTCCGTGTTCAGGGTAACTGCTAAATTCTGTTCTTTCTTGTGCTTTGTATAGTTTGTTGGATGTATTCTGCCTTCTGCTTTCAGTTTAAGAGGTAACACTGCTTAGAAGTAACAGTCTGTTTTATTGTTTTACGTCTGTGTTTTAAAAGAAAAAACTAGAATGTTGAAATTTCCTGGGTAAACTATGAGAAGACTTGTTCTTAACTACTGGAACTTTGCAGATTTTAAATCACCTATCTCTATGATGTTTGATCTGGTTAGGAAGCCTAGCATCTTTAGCCTGGAATTTGGAATCTTACAAAAAGACATTAAAAAGTTGTTAACTTTTACTAAAGTCATGGATTCCTTAGATTTGGAGGCAAGCTTGGAGATCAGTATCTACTGGTGTCCAGGGTAAATACTATGTGATAGTTTTTCTTTCCCTAATGCAGTAACCAAGCTGCTACATTTGCCTGGATTCTCCATAGATCTGCTTCTCCTCTCCATCTGCTGTAACTGCTGCCATGCGCTATGACAGCTTGACTTAAAGTGACTATGAGGTGCAGAGAAGCAACAGCTATTCCTGTGTCTGATGATCCTATGGAACTTTGGTATCCTGTGTGTTTGCAACAGTGTATATACGTAAACATACTTACAGACCTTTCCTAAAGTGTATTGTTTATGTTCTTTTACAGGACAACGAAGGTCAGACAGCTCTTCATTACGGTAAGCTATTTCTGAATTATTGGTCACATTTGAACATTTTGTCTGTCTAAGCCTATGTGGTAGAGCTAGTAGAAATGCAATAACTGTCATCAGCAATAGCAGCTGCTCCACCCACTGCTGGAAATTCATTGTTTCATTTTTGGTACTGCCAGGGACGAGCAGGGTGCTGATCTTTGTTATTATAGAATCTAATCTCTCCCCTATTTAAAAAAGAAAACAAAACAACAAAGCTCTCCTGAGGCTGGGGAGATGGATCAGTTGTAGAAGGCTCACCATGCAAGCATGAGGAGCTGGGTTCAGGTCCTAGACCCCACATGAGAGCCAGCACAGTGGCGTGCATCTGAGCCTGGGCAAAGGCAGAAAGGTCCTAGGGGCTCGTCAGCCATTCAGGCTAGCCAAAATGGCAAGCTCCAGGTTCCCAGAGAGACTTTGTCTTAGAAGATAAGGTGGAGATCGATAGAGGAAGACACACAATGATGTTGACCTCTGACCTCTGCATGCACACACTGGGCTGGCCCTCCTCACACATGCATACACTACACATATGAAAGAAATACTTCTGATGAGCCCCTAACCTGCGGTTTTACTATTTGTAGTTTTAGTTGCCCACAGCTGATTCTGATCCAAAGATATGAAATGTCAAAATTCTAGAAGTAGACAATGAATAGATTTTAAATTGCATGCTGTTCTGTGTAACATGAGGAAGTCTCATGCCATCCTTGCCCCTTGAATCCAGAACATGACTTTGGCGTGTCTCAGTTACCAGAGAAGCTGATCACAGTGCTAGTGTCCAATGACCCTTTGGTAGCAGCCAAACAACTAGGTCATGATGCCTGCATCATTTCCCTCACTTTGTCTTACCACATGGACGTTGAGTCATCTCATATCATCACAAGAATTGTGAGCATAGTACAATAAAATGTATACAAAAGTTTCTGTCCCACCTGATTCCACAGCCTTTCTGTCCCAAATAAACACACAGAGTCTTACATTAATCATAAACTGTTTGGCCAGTGACTTTGGCTTCTTATTGGCTAGCTCTCTCTTAATTATTAACCCATTTCTATTAATTTATGTATTTCCACATGATCTTGGCTTACCGGATAATGCCCGAACATTCTATCTTCCTGGTAGCTACATGGTGTCTCCCTTTAGACATACCCTTTTCCTGTTTTCTAAAAACAGTAAAATATAGACTAGTATAACTGAAGAAAGAAAGCAAATTCAATATTTAGATCATTTTGTCTACTAAATGATTATCTTTACTTCACCAGTCTAAAATATAGAGTAAAAATGATCTGTAAGGCAGAGATAATAGCATGGCTCTCAGAGAACTATTAAATAAATTCAGTGTAATAAAGAGATATTATAAAATACTAACATAGAATTCAGAGATTGTTTGTGTACGAATATTGTTGAGTAAAAGTCAGACATCAGTGTCTAAATCAGGTCAACCACCTTGGGTCATTTCAGAAAGGAACACACAGACTGCCTTGTCAGTCTGAACAATGCTGTGCTGAGGGACCGAGATGCCCACAGCTGAGCATATATTTAGGTGTGATGAACACTGGATTACCTGGGAGTCTAGACTGTTGGACTGGCTGTTTGCCCATGTAAAGCAGCCTGATAATGAAAATTGAAATGTCTCCAAAGGCCTGCCCCAACTCACTCACAAGTTACTGGTATTATCTGGAGAGTAAAACCAGCAGGAAAACAAGAAACTTGGGAGTTCATTTCACTTTTGAACATATGCCAGAATCCTAAGGAAATATTAGCAAATGAAACCCATACTTTAGGCAGAAAGATATCTCATAATCCAATTGAGTTAATCCCAGACATTGAAGGTGTACATTTTAAAATTTATTAGTATGATTTTCTATGTTTCCAAGTTAGGTGAAATACCTAATTCAGTAATTGAGATGTGAATAAAAAGCTTGTGAGAAAAGTCACCACTCAATTTAGGAAGTTTAGTAAAGTGGTTCAGACCTCTGGGTTTAAATGAGACTTGTGCTTGACATCCTAGTTCTCCGCTGACAACACAGGCTGTTCAGTTCACTATACTTTAGTTTACACTTGATGAAATAGAGGCCATTGCCTCAGACTAGCTATGAGAATGTAAGAAGTTAATTTATGTAAAGTGCTTAGGACAATGCCTGATACCTGCTGTGTATGCATACAATGTTAGCAGGTTTTTTTATTGGCTTTTTTTCTATAAAATCCTTGGATAAAATAGATATACAACATTAGGGTTGCAGCATTAGTAGATAATATTCATATAACACATCCACTACCAAAAGAAGGTCAATAAAAGAAAGCTATATAGAAATAATATTTTCTTATATGACTGGAATTTAGCTAGTTTAAATATGAAGGTGATTCTACTAAGTGTGCACCAAAATGGTAGCATAACAAAGAAAAAATGAAAAAACATTTAAAAAATTAAAACACTACATTAATAGTGTAGAATGCTGTCTGCCTGAAACAAAATCAAAGCAGCAAGACAGGAAGTACAAGTATAATAGCAAGTGTGACTCAGTGAGTGAGTAAGGAAGGCACCCAGTGCTGTCCTCTGGCCTCCATATGTGCAAGCACAAGCATGCATATTCACTTGTATGCACATGTACCCACATACAGCTATGAACACACAAGTGCCCATACACATAATGTATTGCTATGATAAAACACCATGACCAAGGCAACTTATGGAAGAAAGTTTATTTTAGGCTTATAGAGTCCATGATGGTAGAGCAGAGGTAACAGATGGCAGTGGCTGGAGCAGCCACTGAGTGTTTACATCTCCAACCACTAGCAGGAAGCAGAGAGGGCTAACTCAGAATGGCACACATCTTTGAAACATCTTATGCATATATGGAAATTATTAAAATTATTAAAACTGCTTTTTATTCATGTGATTTTGAAATTGCATAGAAAGCTTATCTTATAGATATATCATTAGTCCAATCATAACTTTAATTTAGAAATGCATTTCTACCAAAAGAAAGTTTAGAGTCAATTTCACTCACATTATAGGAATTGGGTATTAAAAGAAAAACAAATCTTGATGTTTTCAGTATTTCTTGATTTCATTTTTATGGAAAAATTAAGGATGCATACATACACACACGTGTGTGTGTACACATACACATATATATCTTTTAAAGTTTTAGGAACATATATATTGTTTATTCCCCGCATAGAACATTTTGAGTTCGGGTATTGTTTTTAGATTAATTAATTCAAGTATGCTTTGTTTTCAAGTGAGAGTCCATTAGCTTCTCTCACCAGATCGTATTTTTTTTTCATTAGAAAAACACTTTAAAAAATAAACATGTGCTAGGCTATGGTGGTGCATGCCTTTAATCCCAGCACTCCCAGCACTTGGGAGGCAAAGGCAGGTGGATCTCTGTGAGTTTGAGGCCAGCCTGGTCTACAGAGTGAGTGCCAGGACAGGGTCCAAAGCGACAGAGAAACCCTGTCTCGAAAAACCAAGATAGATAGATAGATAGATAGATAGATAGATAGATAGATAGATAGATAGACAGACAGACAGACATGCTTTTTTTTTAAGATTTGACTTAGTCTAACAGTATAAAGAAGTAAACCAGATTATCTATTTCAGATCAGTGTCTATTTGGAGGGGGCAGCCCCATTTCACACAAACTTAAAGTTCAAATTTATATTCTTGATTGTTTGGGAAATCATCAGTTAAGAAACTAGTCTTGTTTTTACTCTCCTACCTCACTCACTAAAGGAAGTGTATACTGGACTTGCTGCACCCTCTCTCTATCCACACCTCCCCCTACCTCTGCCTCTGTGTGTGTGTGTGTGTGTGTGTGTGTGTGTGTGTGTGTGTGTGTGTGTGGTGTACAGAGTATATACAGGGGTGCAGTGTGTACAGGTGTAGTGTTCACAGGTGTACAGAGTATATACAGGTATACAGTATTCTACAGTATACAGTGTGTGTGCACAGGTGTACAGAGTATATACAGGTATACAGTGTGTATAGTATTCTACAGTGTACAGTGCGTGTGCACAGGTGTACAGAGTATATACAAGTATACAGTGTGTATAGTATTCTACAGTGTACAGTGCGTGTGCACAGGTGTACAGAGTATATACAGGTATACAGTGTGTACAGTATTCTACAGTGTACAGTGTGTGTGCACAGGTGTACATGGAGGCCAGATGCTGATGTTAGGTATCTTCCTCTATCTCACTACCTTATGTTTTTGAGTAAAGGTCCTTCCTGACCTAGAGCTCACCAGCTGAGCTGAGCCAGCTGTGGTCTCCTGTCTCTGTCTTCCCTGTGCTGGGATTACAGGCACACACCAATGCCCCCAACTCTCTTGCACAGATGCAAAGGCTCTGCTCAGGCCCCTTGCTGTGCAGAATGCATTTTACTGACTGAGCCATCTTCCTGCCCCTAAATGCTAATCTTTTTCTAAGAATACATTTTCAGTCCAGCACTCTAAGTTCCTTAGAGGAGAATAAACCCACAATTGAGCATTACAGACTCCAATCACATGCACATCAGTGGGTGAGTAAATCACATGGTTCCCTTTTTTTCACTCTCGGTACTTATTGGGGGAGGGTATGCACATGGCACAGCACACATGTGCAGGACAGCTTGAACAAGGTGATCCCCTTCCTCGGCTATGTGGGTCTTGGAGATTGAACTCAAGTTGCCAGGCCTGGTGGCTATGCCTTTACCGCTGAGCCATCTCACCAACACAGGGTTGCATTTTAAAGGACTTCAGTGTAACTCTTGAATAAGAGTTATTAGAACAAGTTTGTAGAGTTGGGGAATCAAAAACATGAGAATGAATTTCACCAAAAATGAACAGGCATGTATAAAAGAGTGTCAACTCTAGTTTAAATAAAAATTTTAAAATACAGCAATTATACTATGGCTAGGTTAAAGTATGCAGTTAGCACAAGTAATGGAAGAAAGAAAAGAAAATGGTGTGTTGAAAGCTGTGTGTAAGAAGTCAAGAAAGAGC